GCCCCGAGGTGGTTCCAAGCAGGTGAGGGGGGAGCTGGGAGGGGGAATCTGCCAGTGCAGGGCCTGGCCCGGGGTCCCTCAGCCACCCAGAGCCGGGACAAATGACCAGGACCAGTAAGAGCGCAGGCCAGGTCGCTGGAGAGAAAGCTGGAGGCTCCCTGGAGGGCAGCCTGACCAGAGGCTGAGTCGCTGCCAGCTATCCCCTGGGATATCAGGGCGCCTGGGAGGTCTGGAGAGGCACAAGGAAACCACCTATTTTTTTTTTTAGACTTATTTATTTATGCATACAAGAACTGGGATACAGAGGTGCACGGGTAGGGGTGTGTGTGAGAGGATTCACCAGAGAAAGAGTGGGGAGCAGAACAGGCAGATTGATGAATGTCCTGCTAAAGGGAGCAGCAGGCAGACAGGAGAGGTCTGCTGCACCATGTGGGTCAGCTCCCTGGTTGGGGGTGGAACTAGTGCTGCTGCAGCTGTAGATTGCTTCGTGGTGCTGAGATTTAACCCCTTGCACCAACAGGGAGGCCCTGGAAACCACCTTTTTTTTTTTTAATCTAAGGGTGCCACTTGGGGATTCCCCCCCCCCCAACTTCCACTTCAGCCTTGCCCTGCTTTGCCTCTGGGAAGAAGCCCGGGGGCATCTTCCTGCTGCAGATGTCCCCCAGAACCTCACCTGGTCTCAGGGTGTGGTCAGCTCACCTGGAGGGGGTGGGATTTAGGGTCAAGGCTGGTGCAGGAACTTCATCTCCCTGAGCTTGGTGAGGGATTTGTGGGAAGACATCTTAATAGACCTGCAAGTGGTAAGTGTTATTCCTCCACCAATTTAGGTGGCAAAAAGTTATCCCCTAGGGGTCTCTGGGCCTGCAGTGTTCCAGGCTCCTCAGGTAGTTAGTTCAGCCCCCGAGGAGACTTCAGCAGGACCCTGGTTGAGCTGTGGGGGCTCCCTACCGCAGCAAGTCTGAGGCCCTCTCTAGGCTTTACTTACATTGCCCCAGAATTCAGATTTCCTGGGTCTTCAAAGCCCACAGCTCTTTGCTGTTTCCACGGAGGTTGATGTAATTTTTCTGGTCTTCCCTACTTTGCAGGCCTCCAATTCACAAGTTTGGGTCTGAGAGCTGCAAAAATTTCACCCTAAATCTCGAGACCCCTGAGAAGGCAGGTCTGACAGCAGTCAAGGAATCGGGAAGATCCCCTGGCCAATCTGCCTCTGATGAAAAACTCAAATCTGGGGCCCTCCCTGGTGGCACAGTGGGTTAAAGCACAGCACTGTGAAGCTATCTGCAGCCACTGCAGCTCGAATTTGATTCCCAGCCAGGGAGGTGACCCACATGGTGTGGCAGACCTTTCCTAGCCCACCACTGCTCCCCTCAGCAATGTATTTCAATCAATCCAACTGTTCTGTTCCCCACTCTGTCTCTTATGAATCTTCTCATACCTCTGGCCTGTACCCCAGTTCTTGTATGCATAAATAAATAAATCTTTTAAAAGAAAGAAAAAGAGACCCTCCCTGGTGGCACAGTGGGTTAGGACGTAGCACTGCAAGGTAGCCTCAGCTGCTTCAGCGTGAGTTTGATCCCCAGCCCTGGAGGTGACCCACTTGGTGCGGCAGACCTCTCCTGTATCACTCTCTGCTCCCCTCAGCAGTGTACTTTGTTAGTCAGCCTGTTCCCCCCCCCCCCCACTCTGTCTCTGGTGAATCCTCTCACCACTTCTGCACCTCTGGCCTGCACCCCAGTTCTGTATGCATAAATAATTTTTAAAAAGAAAAAGTCAAATCTGACTCCCAGTAGTGGGATGAGGTGGGAGGATGGACTTTGTCTCAGGGCAGTGCTGCAGCTTTTGGGCTCCTGGCCTCCCTTGGAATCTGTACAACTTTTGTCCCGAGGGGCACAAAAGCATTGAGCTTCAGAACTCAGCAGCAGGATGGGCTGAGTCAGATCTAAGCCTGCCTGGGGCTAAGAAGACCAGTTCAAGGTCCTTGTGCCTACTGCTGCTGGCAAAACCCCGAGGCTGAAGTCCCCCATAGGTAGTCCACACACCCTTCCTGATCCCCACCTGGTTGCTTGTGGAGGTGCTTTATTCATACCCTCTTGCTAAACCACCTGAAGAGACTTCAGCTCACTGACTTGAGGGCAGTTATGTTTGAAAGCCTCTGCATTGAACAGCTGTGCTGGCCTAAACCTGAGTGGGACTTGCCTGACTTCCTCCTTGCCCTGGGTAGGGGAGGAGACCTTTCTAGGCCCCACTACAGAGCCCCCCCATCACAGCTCAGGGCCAACCATTAGTCGGGGATCACCAGGGAAGCTTGCCTTCCCTTCATGCCAATAGAAGCTTCTGTTGTCCACCTTCACTTAGCCAGGATTGCCTACATCCACTGACACTCCCCGCATTGTTCTAAGACCAAGGCCTCAGGGTGTTAGGGGCCCATAGCAAATACAAATAGAGTGGGCAAGGTCACCTAGTACTCGAAATCACACTAAATGCTCACCCGCCAGCTTGAGAGTTAGGGGTGGGTTATGGTGACTGAGATTTGGTCTTAGGAACCCAAATGTGAATTTTCCCCACATCCCTTCCTTCCCCAGCTGACAATCAAGTTTCTGAGTTTTCCACTTCTGGTTGAGGCACTTTCATTTCCCCAGGAGTAGGGTGGAGGCTGGTGCAGAAAGGGGAACTGAACCTCCGGTCTCCTGAGGCCTGTGGGTGGGGCTGTGGGGGCCCTCTCACTCTCCCTGTCCCAGCCCCAAGCTGGGCATTGCTGACCACAGAGGCCCACAGGTGGAGACTCCATAGCAATGTGAGGTGGCATGGCAGAGGCAGAGACCAAAGCAATACCAGACGGGGTCTTTCAGGGGAAGCTGAGGCTCAGTGCTCAAGAGCAAGGCAGGCCTGGAGTGATGATCATCTCGGCCTATTCCCACCCAAGGCAGGCCCGGAAGCCCCCGGGGCTGAAGTTTCCCACAGCTGCAGCACACAGGCAGAAGTTCCGCAGCCTGAGTCTAGTCTGCTTCAGTGGCAGCTGTCTCTGTGTTGACGCAAACCCTAGTTCTTGGTCAAGGTAGCCCCTCAAATGTTAATGATAACTCTCATCCCACCCCAGGGAGGCGTGTTCATCACCCCAGACACCCCATTTCCTTCAGTCATCCTGCCCTCTCAGGTCAGCCCTCCTCAGACCTTTACCTGCATCACAGCCCTGCCGCATTCCTCTGGGGTCTGGTCTCACCCCCTTCAGTCACAGGAGGTCCTGGAGAGAGAGAGCCCCAGCAGGTGGTGGGGTTGGGGGGGTGGGAGGGGAAGCGGAGGGGCAAGGGCCCATAAAGCCAGTGGCCTCTGACTGGTGGGGGCGAGCAGAAACAAGAGCAGAGAGTATGTGCTGACTCCCCTCTGGGAGCTGTGAGACCCTTCCTGGGAAGTTCCTCAGCTGTGTGTGTTGTGCCAGGTATCGAGTTTCCCAAAGACCACCAAGGAGCCGATCTGATGCAAAGCCCACAAGGGTCGTTATTGCAAGCTTGAGCCTGGGCTCCCAACATGCACCAATGCAGTGGTCAAAGTTGAGAGCCCTGAGCTCAGGGAAGGCAGGGTTTTTGTTACAGAAGAGGGGAGTTTCAGCTCAGCAGAGGGGAGTTTTAGCAGTACATTGATTGGTGGACACTGAACAAAGTTATCTTGTCTTTACCCAGTTGGTCCATGCATGTAAGATGGGACCTTCGCTACTCGGCCCGAATGCCTCAGGACATCTGGTGCTTTCCTGATATGCACTGGTTACTTGCCTACTTGCTAACTGGCTGTTGCTATGGGATGAGCAAGATTAGGACACTTACGGTTAAACTCGGCCTTGGTGCCTTGTTGGTAACCGGAACTTAGGCTGTCTGCTTCAGAAACATCCTGAAGCCTGTCATAGCGTCAGTTTGGTGTTTCAGTGTGTACACGAGCCTGGCAAAAGTGAGGTGCTTACTGGATGCCCAGTGAATGGTTGGTGGAAGGAATGAGCCTAGGAAACAAGAGGGCAAGAGCTAAGTTGTTGTTACCCCTGCCAGAGCCTCAGGGAGTAGAGGAGTTGGCTGACGGGAATCCTCTCAAGATATGGGGGGCGGAGAGGAGGCCCATCCCTGAGGGAAACTGAGCAAGAGAGGAAGCGCTCAGGACTGCGTGTAGAACACTTCATCCAGTCCACACTTTCTGTCTTTGTCTCAGGCCAGTTTTCTGAGGGTGGGTCTGTGAGGAATCTCAGGAAAAAGGAGGGGAGGCAGGAAGAGAAGCCAGGAGGTGGGGTGGCTAGAGACCAGTGTCAGCCTGCCCCACGGGGAGCCCTGGAGCTCATGTTTGCTCCACCCGAAGCTGGGAGCCTTGTGTACCCTGCACTGGCTGTGGGCTGTGCCCTCAGGGTGGAGGGTGGGCTCTGCCTGGCGAGGAGGCAGCTTGGCCTCTGTAGGCACCTGCCCAGGGCAGTGGGGAAAATGGGCAACCGAAGGCTGTGGCTGCAGTGGCAAGCCCCCTCCACCCTTCCACACCCCCTTCCCACCCTAGCACAGAGCACAGGGCAGGGGCCCTGTGGCCGAAAGGCTGATGGTTGCGAGAGAAGGGCCTTGAGCCCCAGCACAGATTGGAGGGCCTCGGGCCCCAGGGCTGGCGGCAAGGAAACCCCGGGCACAGGTGCGGCCCATCCGCTGCCCCAGAGCCCCCCCAACAGCAAATCTACTGATGCGCCCCCTTTCACTTTCTCCTGCAGACCCCTTTGCCATGAACCAGCCTGCCTCTGGGGTTCCCCCACCACCCCGTCGTGTGCGGCTGAAACCCTGGCTGGTGGCTCAGGTGAACAGCTGCCAGTACCCCGGGCTTCAGTGGGTAAACGGGGAAAGGAAATTCTTTTACATCCCCTGGCGCCATGCCACGAGGAGTGGGCCCAGCCAGGAGGGCGATAACACCATCTTCAAGGTAAGCCTGGACTGTGGGTACTACCTAGGGAGGGACACCCCCGCTACAAGGGGCCCCCCCATGTCTCAAATGGCTCACTCTCCCTGCTGCCTTGCCAGAGGTGACCCCACGCATAAACACAGAGTACCCCTTTCCAACCTGACCCCCAGAGTCGGGCAAGGGCGACCCCCAGAGTCGGGAGGGCCCCCAGGAGGCCCTTCTGGAGCACCTGCTTCTCCTCTTGTTCTTGGCTTGTTCTCGTTTCACATGAGCACAGGTCGGTGTGGTGTACACATGTGCTCAAAGATGACATGAAAAGGTAACTACGATGAATAGTTTTTGCTGCTTTTTTCAGTTGTCTGCGCGTGTGTGTCAATGGAGATGAAGTGAGAAAATGGAATCAATCC